AATTTATAACTGTAAATTTGTTTTTAGACTCATTCGAAACCTAGGAATTTATATTTGTTTAAAACGATATAATATTATTCTTATGTTAAGTTTTTCGGGCTAGACAAACTAAGTTGTATTTGGTCTATGTATCTGTCGAGTGAACACCGGAGTCAAATGGTAGCACATTTTTTATAGTATGACCAGAGAGGAAAGTATTAAACTAGATCGAAAAATATCTAGCTTCCTAGTTCTCCTGAGTGGGAAAAACGTAAGAAAAAACTAAGTAAGTAATCAAAATAGTATGTAAGAAAAAACATTTAAAAAGGAACATTATTTAAGTATCAAAGCTTCTAATGAAAAGGATTTAAAATAGTTTGTTATACACACAAGTTCGATTGATTTCAACTTAAATATATACTTTAATATCATAAACTATTTACTTAAGATTCAGAGCGTAACAGTTTACAATGTTGATCAAATATTTACATAAGGAATTTCTAGATAATTTTAAATTACCTATACATGGTCAAATTTATATTAGTTACTTTTGTGAGTAAAAAAGATTTCACATAAGCATTTTTACTGAAATTTATAAAAAGTTTATCGTAAAAAGTCACAAATAGGTACATTTTTTTAAATTTGAAATTTAGATGTAATTGGATATTCACTTGTATTATTATAACTATTTCTCCTAAAACAATTTTCAATTAAAAAAATGTTAGAACCTTGTATTTTTCATATAGTACTTTCACATTAGCTTTTTGAAAATATTTGAGGTAATTTTAAGCAACCTACACCTGCACAGTGATCCTATTCTGAGATACTCAATCAAATTATTTATTAGTGGAGAAATAAAAATTCAAATTACGAAAACATTACTATTAATATAATATCACAATTCATTTTTAAGCAAGTTTTGAGAATGTTTATTAATAAAATAATATTAAATTGCTCATAACTCTTTTAAAAAATAAAATATCGTAAAAAAATCAATGTAATTAGGTACTTACATATACACAGATAATGTACTGATGTTTAAATGTGTTATAGATACAATATTTACTGCAATATTATAGCTGACAACACAGAATTGGTTCTGCACAATTCAAATTTGCTATATTCAACGATAGTATTTCGGATATTGTACTAGAATTAATGTATTATATAATAGTTTTATACCTGTGATTCTTATTACATATAGCTACATAATACTAAAATACTTAGTCTTTCCTAGCAGCGGCATCATATTAATATGGTGTTTGAATAGGTCGGATCTAATACTGACTGGATAACATACTGACTTGATAGAATTTAAAACTAATATTAAAAACTAATCTTTTTCTTCATATTTATTGTTTGCATGTCCTAGTAAAATTGTCATATTTCATTTATGGGTGCTTGTGTATCAGTGTATAATGTTAAATTAATTGTGTATGGTTTTTTTTTTTGCTCCAAGTAGCCTTTAGTTTTTGTCAGTTCTATTACCTTTTGAATAACCATCATGGGAGATAATCAAGTTGATGACTATGCTTACTCACCGAGCTAGATACTGAGATGAAAACACTGAAAAGTTATCAAGGTAATTAAAATAAAACATTTATTGGAATTATTTTCGACTGAAAAACTATTGGTTTTCCATATTTTTAAACTTAAAAAAGTTTGCATTTCAGTGTAATTGATTTTTTCCTAGGACAATATGTAGTATATATTTATTTTTTTTTTTATTCCGATCGAAGCAAGAATAGTCGTTAGGTTATACCAGTGTATAGACCAGGTGGTCAACGGAACCAAATTTTTTTTATATTTTCCTCTTTTTGTTTCTTTAAAAAAAAATTTCTCCTTTTTAAAAAAACACATTTTTAATAATTGTTATATCAAAAGGTAATTGTAATGGTTTATGATGGAAAAAGTACAAAATAAAATGTTTTGTTTGTAAATGTCAAAATGGATGAATAGGATGCATTTCAAGTTAGGAAAACTAGAAGTGCACCAAAACACGTTTCATTGTTTTGACTCCTAAACAGGGTTGGAAGAAGATAAACAAAAAAATCATCTGGATAAGATAACAGATAATTCATTCAAATTTATCTAGATAATGATAAAAATACACATACATTATCTAGATAAAAAATAGATAATTTGTTTTTAAATTATATTATAAATAATGTAATTTATCAGTAATTACTAATTAGGTAATATTTATTAATTAATAAATCCTTAATGTCATTTCTCAACTAAAATAATATATAATTTTAATTTTTAATACAACTTGAATAAAAATAAAATAACAAAATAAAACTGACAATATTTCAGTAAGCATTTCTTTTTTTAACTATAATAATATTGGAATTTGGAATCAATACTCGGTTCTCTTAAATTATTGGCTATTTCAGTATTTAAAAATATTCTTATTATTATATTATTTATCTAGATAAATTAATACAGATAACCATTACATTTATCTAGATGGAATAATTATATGATTTAATTATTTTTATCTAGATAAGATAATTAAAGAAAAAATTTTATCTAGATAATTCCCAACACGGCTCCTAAACATCAAACATATTAATGTCAACAAGTTTTCCGAATTTTTTTTAGTTTGAGGTGAGGCTCAGTCAAAAGCTCTCCAAGTACCCGTGGTATAGTAAAAAGGTTGGGAAGTGCTGGGTTATAAAATATACAATATTATTGTTGTACCAGAGTAATCCTTTCAAATACATTTTCACTAGCTCACTGTCCACTGATGACGAGACAGAGTACCAACAACAGATATTTATATAGTTATTATTTAAAAACTATACTTACCGATATGATAAAGTTTCTTTCATACACTAGTAGGTACATCACACTAATTTTACTCAGATCACTGCAGTCGTCTTTGCCAATAAATGATACTTATGTACTTGATGACCTAGTACCGTGTGAGGTTTCACAAACAACCTTGTCACCCAACGTTGTACATGTCTTCAAAGTTCAAATGACAAATAATATATTTTATAGGAATATTCAGAATAAAACAAATAACTATTCATAATTTGATGTACTGAGTAAATTATATTTTATTTCTTGTGAAAGTGCTTTGCGGTTACACATGTTATTAATACAAAATTATATAATGGTTATATATCATACTACCACGGACAATTTTTTTTATTTTTTAATAATAGTAGTAGTATAACAGTAAAAGTTTTTAATTTCTTGTTAAGCTTTCAAAAACACTGCTACTTATCAACAGGTGCGCATCTAGCTGTGGGAGAGGGGAAGGGAAGGTACATTAGCACCCCCTTTGGAAGTGTTATATATTATTATGTATTTATTTATATAATATATTAATATTCATACAACTTAAATTCTATACATTTAAAATATAAATAAAATGTTTATTATTATATTATTATATTTATCCATAATTCTGTATATGCTAAAATTGTATTTTTCTAAATTGTTTAGCCCCCTCCCCTCATTTACCATTTCTAGATCCACGCCTGTACATCGATAATACAAATAATAATCCAGAAATGATAACATGAAGTAATTATTGTTTAATAATAGACATACCATAGATATAGTTTAAATTGTTTAGACAAAACAATTACCATTGATGTGCGGTCACACACATGTCACATACTAAATACAGTAGGTACATCATTTTGTTAAAGTTAAATAAGGGTTAAGACGTTTATGCACTACAAAATAGCTAATTACTGATGAATAAATTGAAAAATAAAGGCGTTTAAAAAACAAATAATTATGAATTACAGTTGCAATTATATATAAATTTCAAAGTTTTAGCAGTTTAAAGATAATAATAGGTATGATTGTTACAACCGACCATGAGCTCTATCGTACATTTTATGTACTTATCTAGATCTACAAATTGCAATATAGAATTACTGACAATAAAAATAAGTGATATTTTTTATATAATCTATATAAAATACAGATATACAAACTTGGATTCATTTTTAGTTATTAACGTTTTTTGTTGTTCATTTTCGTATTGAAAACCATAAAAACAGCCAAAATATCAGGTTAATTACAAAAAAATATACAAATATGTATAAGCAAAATAAAATTATGATATTCCAATCTAGAAATCATAAAACAAATTTCTATCTAAGAAAATATTAGGATAACCTACAAAAAACATGCAAAATCATAAACATCTTAACCCTAGTTATTATGATTAAAATATAGACGATAGTAGACAAATGGAAAGGTAGGAAATATTTTTCTATAAAACATTTAATTGCATTTAAATAAACTATTTTAATGACATACAAAATACAAATATAATACATAATTAATTATTTGTTACTTATAACACCAAAATCTGCATGGTATCACACTAATTTAACATTTAAAATTAAACAATTATATTACAGTTTTTATTCAATAAGTCTTTTATACGAATTTACAATTTATTAAATCTATTTCGTTCTTTGAGACAAGTTGTGAATTTTCACAAATATATAAACAATATATCGGAATACTCCATAATAAACACATTAACACAATTTATAATAATAATTATAAAAATATAATTTTATTCAAATATTTTATTCTCTTACAAAATATCCAGAGTTGCGGGATGTAACATTTTTAATTTAACACATATTGAATTGTGATATACTTAAAAAAAAGGTCGAAAAGACAATGAGTGCTTTTAAAATTAATTTATAAAAAATAAAATAAAATTCATATTCATAACAACTTAAAAATTATAATATAAGTGATTTTTTAATCACGTGCCGAAAATAGTTATATCTATTATTACATAAAAAAAAAATAATAATAATAGCGTCGGTGTACAAAGAATAAGTAAATACCGAAACTAAATTTCACATAATTCTTTTTTAAAAGAAAAAATTCTGTTATAGCACCTGCTTAAAATATAGTACAAGATGGAATGAAAAATAAGTCGATTAAAACGTATAGTAGTATTAAACAACATCTATGGATACATACTATTAGTGTGTCGGAGGAAAATATCCTTTCGATGGGTTGTCATGATTTTACCAACTCGTCAAGCTGTGGCGACTGTGGCCATTCGAAGAGAACTGCAATATTAAATGCTCCGGTTGCGGGTTTGGCGAACCGAATTGCAGTTTCTGGAACTTTTCGTAGTAAACTTCCTGCGAGTCGGGTTCTCCGTTTCGATACTCTTGAACCCGCCGTTTCATCTCTTTCTCCAACTGCTTAATGTACTGTTGCTGATAGGCGATATTCATTAAAACCAGTTTCTGTCGACTGTTTGCCAACGAAATCTGCTCTTGAGTGTTGTTGTCATCTGCCTTAACCATATCGTGCAGCAGATTCGTTGATCCATTGGACGATACTCGGTGGGCGGTATCATCGCCGCCACTGCCACCATTTTCTCCATCGTGGTTTTCGGACTTCGGTTCGTCGGTGATATTCAAGAAATTGTTCAACCGGCTGACGGGCGGTAACATTTTCTGATTGCCCAAATAACAGCCCCAGGCATTGCTAATGGAATAATCGTATGGCCAATGGACTTTGGTGTTCAAATTTTGGCCACGGTCATCTGAAAAGTACGTGTTGTTGGCAGTCGTTGAATCCACGGCTGCCGAGGTGCAGGTGTCTATCAATTTGCCGAACGGTTGTCGCCGGTTAAAAGCTGGTTGCAACAGTGGTCTACCACGATTCACGAAAAATCCGCGAGTCGACGTGGCATTGGCCTCGCCGAACATAGAAGGAGGTTTCACTATCTTGTTGGGAGTGATAAACGGCGGAGGACGCATCGACCGCTTTCTAGCGGCTGTTGGCTTCGCGTATAACTGATTGCCGGTTGTCGGTTGTACGCTGGATGATGGCATCGTCGATTCTGAAGTAGACACCGAACTCCTCGTCTTTTTGAATATCACCGCTCCTCTTGTTCTGGCCGAAGTACCTTCGACCACCGACCTCGATGAAATAGTTTTTGCGGCGGAATCAGTAGTTATGGTCGTCGGACACTGCAGTTTATTGATCGTAGTCGTCGTGGAAGATGTGGTCTGCGTTTCAATGACCGTTTTGATCGTCAGTACGGACAATTTATTATTCGATTTACTGTCAGCGATAATTGACTGTTGTTTCAGTACAGCCCTCCGTTCGTTTTCATAGTCCGGTTTGTCTATTGTCATAACGATTGATTGTGTATTATATCTGCTATCAGTGATGACAGATTTCTGTTCCGCTGTTGTCCAATTTTCTACATCATTATTTTCTCCTTGTACGTGTGCCGGTGTCACTGGATTAACGATGGGCGTTCGACAATAATCAGGAAATGGTCGAATTTCATCGTCAACTGCTATGGCCGCGGCGAATGCATCTCGACGGCGTAATTGGAGCGTTCCAGCACCGCGACCCGCCTTCAAATGCCGTTCCAACACCATGGCTTTGATAAATTGTTCACAAGCAGCCGTCACAAGTGAGCATGCGTCAGCTGTCACGTCCATAGGTGCCGGAATGGTAGGACACAGAGTTCGCGTTACAGTTACAGTGCGCTGATCTTCATCGGTGATCGTTGTCGTTTTCTGATAGGTGGTGATGTCTTCGTCACCGGTTTCAAAAACTGCGTTGGTGAGTACATTATTTTTTTCACCATTCGGTGCTGCTGTCAAAATTTCTGAGGGAGGAATTGTTTTTAAAATGTTTAATGTCCTTGATACTCTAGGCCCGGGTACGGAAGTGTTGGCCAATGTTGGTCCACTTTGGATGGTGGACATTTTGTTGAATGATAACGATGGTTGAACTGCCGACTTGGATCTGTTAGTTTGTAGGGCTGAAGGTGGTGACAATGCCATTGACGCAGGTCTTTTGATCGGTCTTGGTTGTATGAAATGATTGCTAGTTGCAGCGACTGCCTCCGATACAGGTGTAATTACTACGGCCGACCTAGATCTCTTGGGAGGTTTGACTGCCGGAGGTGACAAGTCCAACATTTCACTAGATATGGAGGGATTTGCATATCCCGCCACTGATGCAGATCGTTTGACAGGTCTAAGACGTTTTTCACGTTGACCAAGTTTCGTTAAAGTGGGTGATACGTCGATAGTTGAGGTATTAGAAGTCGTTACTGCTGATTTTGATCTCTTCTGCGGTCGGACCACTATTGCTGAGGTTGAAATTTTTGTTTCCAGCGCTGGAACAGCATTGTCTGTCATTATTTCAGACGTGAGGAGTGGTACAGAAGAAAATGCTACTGACGCTGATCTTTTAGTTGGCTGTCCTACAGAATTAGATGGTTGTTTTCTGCTGGCACTGGCTACCCCTATAGTAGATTTGGATCTATTATGAAGCCCAACTGCCACATTTTTGGTCGATGGTGTATAGCTTGTGGTCATAATTTCCAATGACGACGGTGTTGCAATGGAAGTCAGTGAAGTAGACCTTTTAGTGGTTATTTGTTGTTTTACTTTACTATTAGAAATAGGCGAAGTAGGAACCGTGGCTGATACTGACCTTTTTGTCGAATTTTCGATGACAGGTATCGGCTTCTTTTTTGATGACCTCGACAACCTTGCTGGTAGTGTTTTCACTCCTTCGGTCGAATGAGACGAATAACTAGTGCATGATTGAATGTCATTTTTTCGTGGTATAGCTTTTTTGGTTACCTTGCTTAAAGTCATAAGAGTAGGAAATGATGCCCGTGCGCAACCTTTCCAAACATGACCATTACCACATGCGATGTTTGAGGAGGTCTCCACAGTTTTCTCTATCCAACTCATGATTGCGGATAATGGTGTTACCGGTGTGTTGGATAATTTGATATTTTGGTTGTTGCTGGAGTTGTCAACGTCGATGTTAGTAGACGCCACATTGCTATCATGTTGATACATTGAAGAATAGTCAAATGGTGTCCGTGGAAGACTCGGAGGTATGTATGACGCAATAGTATGAGCAGCCGACATTGTCATTATAGTGGTCATGAACCGCCCATGAATTATTTGTTCAATGGTACCTTGAGAAAATCCATGGTCACGGAACGTAAAAACAGCTGGTCCGCGAGTTTCTAACGATAGAGTACGATTCAAGCGTCGATACCGCCGCACAGTCTTTGAAAGTGTGCCAATTTGACGATGATGGTTTGTCGTAATAACTCTACTTTTTTTTATATTTTTGGTATGTTCGGTTCTATTGTCGCTACTCTGGGATTTGTCTATTGACTTTGTCATTTTCATATTTGATTTTCCAGTTGGTGTTATTGTAGGTATTTGGCCAACTGCAGGCTGATGGTTTTCGGGTAATGCCGCCGGTGTTCTTCTGATGACACCCATTATTGCTGCATTCGCAAACTTGTCAAGGACTGATGTTGTCATATCAACACTATTAACGTATTTCGAACTCAGGATCCCACCCTCACTTTGTATTCTTTTTCTACCATCAGGCAACACGTTTATAAATTTGTTTTCAACATTCGAAATTATCGATGAATTATCAACCACGGCTATCTTTAATATTTGATTACTGCTATCAGCCACAGGGGGTTTGTTCATAACAGCCAATGTCTCTTTTGGTCTGCTGACATGGACAGGTATCTGTGTTGGACTGCTAACAATAGTCCTAAGTACTGATGTTCCTGTCATTACATCTTTAATGTTATTTTGTTCACTAATAAGTGTTTTATTATCTTCATTCTTAGTTGATTTTAATTTTTTTAAATCTTCCCATTTGTCTTCTATTTGCATTGTTTTATCTTTATTAAAATATTCATTCTTCGTCAACTCCAAACCTTTGTTTAAGTCAATATTGCTAATGTTGTCTTTACATTTTATAATAGAATTCATGTCATGTATTTCCGATATATTTTCAATATCTGTTATAACCCGTTGTGTACTGGGAAGTGGTTTTTTTTTTATAATTTTAATTGTTAATGGTGATTTTTCTGAAACTTGCACACCAAAGCTAGCTTCGTTTGATGACTCAGTGCTAGAATCAGAATCTAATATTTCGATATCGTCATCAGAATCTACAAGATTAATAATGGGGATATTTTTGTCAATACCAGTATTTTTAATAAGGGAAGGCACCGATCGCTTACGACTAATGGAGTTAAACGGTGACTTAGATCTATTTTTGCTTGACGATTTAAGTTTTTTGCAATAATCATTAGTTTCATCTCCACTACTGAGCCGTCTTTTTTCCTGTAGTTGATTTTCTGAAACAAAAGCAATCGACGGTTGCTGTGTAGTTTTCATCATAGTTTGTTTTGGCATCGGTGGTTGTTGAAGTTTTAATACTGTTGAATATACCAATGACTGTTGTTTAGCCGTCATTGGTTGATTCAGCTTAAGTAATAATGAATAGGTTGACAATTGTTGTTGCGTATGTTTTGACGATGAAGGGCTTTGCAAGTTCAATACAGCTGAATAAATGGAATTTAACTGTTCCTCCATCATCGGATGTTGCTGTAGTTTGATAAGCACGGAACAATTTGAAGATAGCTGAGTTGTATCAGACAACATGGGATGTTGTTCTGGGCAAATTAATATCAGTAGATCTTCGATTAGATCACGAAATCGTTGTTGTCGCCAATTCAGATGTTCACGGATCCGTTGCAACTGTTGCAATGAACACAGGGTTATAGTAGTTGAAGCCATCACCACTGAAACCTCATTATTTTGAAGTATGTGTTGTTTTTGCTGTTGCACACTCGGACGTCTTAAGTCTAACATGGATTTAACTGAAACCTCTTTCCGTCTTAACTGCTCAATATCATCCAATTGTTGTAACAACCAACGTCCAGGCATCTGAAGTGAAAGCTGCCACATTTCCATCAGTGGTTTTAGTTTACTGTGTACTCTGCTGAGCCGTCGTTTTAGAGCCTGACGTTTTTCTTCTACCTCTTGACATTGTTGGTTCGCTGATGTGGACGCAGTTGGTTGATATGATATTAACTTTACCGAAGACATCGAGGATTGTTCTATAGATGTTGAAGGTTGCTGTGGGCTTAGTTTAACAGTAGAAGTCAAAGATTGTTGTTTTATGGTTGATGGTTGCTGTGGAGACAATATCATTGAAGTTATTGAAGGATGTCGAACAGACATTATCAATGTCTTTGAATCTGATGGTTTTAGTGGATTGTCGATTTTACCAGGATGGTTTTCGTTCAATCTATCCAGTTGGCGCTGCAACGAAGACCGTTGATTATGCAGGCAATACGTCATTTTCTTAAGAACAAACTTGGTAAATTTATTTTGGGTTTGCTGACTTTGCATTTCTCTAGTGTCAATGATAATATCTTGATGAGCCTCCGATCGCTGATTTTGCTTCCGTAGTCGCTTATTGCGATTCGAGTGTACCTGGAGTATTCTATTTCGTAGCAGGAACATGTGTCTTGAACTCATAGCTGGTGCCTTTACTTTAGTTAACATTTGACCACGATGGAACCGCCTCCGCGTTACTTGTTTATGCTGTTCTATTAAATATTTATTTTGTACTTGGGGTTTATTTTGATTTAGGTGATCGGGTTGTTTTGATCGTTTATGTGATGGTTGACATACCACTACGTTTCTTTTACTACGTAGTTGGCGAATATTGACTGATTCTTGATGTTCATAAGATTTTTTTGGTTGATTTTCATTAGTATCGTTCAAATTTTGTGGTAGTTGTTTTTCAAGTTTTTGATTTCCTTGTTTGTTTAGTGGGTCTTGTTTCAAAGCTAGTTTATGTGTTGACCGCTGTTGCTTAATGGTTTTTTTTGATTTTTTGCTTGACTTTGAAGTTTTATGTTTTTTCTGTTTTATTGGAGTTTGCTGAGAACGGTTCTTTGCGGCTTGCTTTTGTGTTGGCTTTTTTTGACGGTGTAACATTCTTGGTTCTTGCATGGGTCGTGGTTCCAAAAGTCGCATTTGCCGCTGAAGTTGTTTTCGTTCAGTATATCTTAAAGGCCCTCCGTTAAGCTGATCTAGAGTTTTAATTAAATGAGGCTTATTTATTTTTCTCATCAAACGTTCATTAAGCTCCCGACAAAATTGTCTATCAGTTGCCTTATATGAAAATAACTGCTTTAGTTTGAATTCCCATTGCTTTTGGTGTGCTTTACGTATAATTTCTAACTGCTTCCATCGATTACTGATACCCTTGTGCTGATCTTCATACAATATTTTTGTTTCTATTTTATGTCTTAGCAGATCATCATCAATGAACACTGGATATTGATATGTGTCCCGTTTTTGGCCAACAACCGTTGTATCAATAAGTTCATCATCATCATCATCATCGATAACAATTATTGGTATTTCTGATTGTTGTTGCCGCATATGGCCTGCCGCACGTAACGTATGTGCTTGTTGATGGTGTACCGGCAACGCTTGAAATGGTGTTCGTTTTTTTAGCTGCTGTATCCGTTTTTCACGTTCTAAACGTTTCTTTTCTTTTTCCCATTGCAGGCGTTTGTCATAATTCAGAAGTAATTTTACTTGTTTTTCCTGTCCATCTATCATAGCCTTCCAATGTAGATCTACTTGTTTATCAAGCTGTGATATCTTGGATTGCAACTGTTCTAACCACCTTCCTTCATCGTTTGTCATCATACTTATTAAATGTGGTTCCATCCACTTTTGAAGCTTTATTTTATTAGTCAATGTCGTACTACTTTTCGGCATAATGTCTATGACTGATGCAACCTTTGTGTCCTTTTGCGGTCTAGTCACCTGTGGTAGATTGCTGATTGGCATCACTGCCACATTCGTTACATCTAGATCAACTTGATTGTCATAGCCAGTAACTAACGGTGATATTTGCCGTGGAAGACCAATAGTCGACCACCAAAGCTGTGATCCTCTACTCGTTTGTCCCTTTGTATTAACATTGGATTCATCTCCAGGCATAGTTATCTCGGGTAGAGTCGCATTTATGGGCACTGTTGTGGATTTGGAACGCCGCTGTTGCTGGAGAACTTTAATTATTTGCTCGTATTTCTTTTTCACGATTCTACGCAACAATTGTTCACATAGTGGAAGTTCCTCGTCATAACATAACGTTGATGACACTTGAAATTTACTAACCATAAAAGAAGGCCTCTTCTGCTGAACAAAAGAACGTCCAACGCCAGAATCTTGTCGCTGCTTGTCTTGTAATTTTTGAATCTTTTGTTCATTAAGTTGTTGCTGTCGATGTCCTAATAGGTGTTTTTGTTGTTCTAATTGCTCAATTCGTCCAAGTCGCTTATACTGATTAAGATATTTTTGCCGTTCTGGCAAATGTTGCTCAGTATGCTGTAGCTTTTGTCTTTTTATTATTTTTTGTTCCATGAGATTTGGCCTGGCTGATGTTTCTGATTGCATTATTTGTTTCATTCGTAGTTGCTGATAAGCAGGTAGCTCTCGTTCAAGTCGTTCTCGCCCATACCGTCCAAGCCTCCGTTTTTGTTGATCCGACGAACGTACGGATTTTTGGTCATTATTACAGGAATAGTATTGATTAATCAATTCTTGGGTCCGGCGTAACCTTTGATCTTCGTCCATCAATTCATCGTTACTTGGCTTGCCTTCGTATGCGGGCCATAGGTCACGCCAATTTTTTAGATCATTTTCTTCCACGTTATTAACATTAAGTTTATTGGAAACTACTCCTGGAAAACGTATAATGTCGTCAGAAATAGTAACATTTTGGTACATTTTTTCTTGCTGATTTTTGATTTTTAACAAAAGATTACCTATTCGTTTCAAGACTGTACGTTCTTGACCATCGTCAGGTAAATTAAGTAAAGAAGTAGAATTGTCTCGTAGTATACATGCATTGTTAGTTGATGGTAAAGGCTGTTGCTGTTGTTCTTGTACGGACGGATTGCACTTAATAGTAGGATTTTCAATAATATTTTCTGGCGGCCGAAGGTACTGTTGTAATTGGACCATATGTGGTAACCGTTCATTCAGAGGTAAAGTATCTACAAGTTTTTGGTACTCGAACACCATATTTTTTATTTCGATACGTTTGCATTTTTGTCTATCAATTTCAGATCGCAACTTATGTTTCTGGTTTGAATTTTCAAATTTTGCCGATGTGTATGTCACTACTTTTTCCTTTAATAAATGCTGTAAGTTATTTCCCTTATTTTGTATCGGGTATCTTTGTATAACAGCCGCTTCATATGCAACGGGTCGTTTATTCCACTGTGTCAATGGGGCCTTCCATTGCACCGATCGCAATTCTTCAACGTCCACTCGTGTGTCTGGTTCTTGGTCCCTATTTGATGGCACTGGTCTAATTATTTTATTAATAGAGTTTTGCTGCTCCAGTTGATTAACGAGGTGTTTTGTTTGGTCTCTATTATATGAATTCGTTTTTGTAACTGAAGTACTTGTCACTTGTTTTGAATTACGTTTAGACCACTCCGTCAACGGGTTCGTTTTTAATATCAGTTTTCCATTCTCTTGTCGTACCTGTTGAACTTGTTCGAATGTCTTCTTCGCTCCTGGCAATTTTTCAGCATCTTGACTTCGCTTTCGTTGTTCTCGTAACACTTTAGTATCATTAATTCTTCCTTGTTGCATCTGCTTCTGTTCCCGCCGTACTACAAGTTCCGTTTGCAGTCTTTTGCTACCTTTATTACACTTTTTTATGGCCAACGTTTTATCAGCTGACTCAGTAAACTTGCATGTATCACTAGTTATGTGCGAATTTGAAGGATTCTGAATTCTAAATTCCATGGCAAGGTCAAAAGATTCTTTTTGAACCATATCGTTAATATTTCGTTCATAATCAGTCTCCAAGACTGTGCGTTCTTGTTCCCTCTCAACTGATGATTCTACAGCATCCATTTTGGAATTTGATGCAAGCATTGGTTGCAACCGAGTTCGAACGCCAGGTGGAAGAATGGCTGCAGCTGGCAACCGATTAGTAGGCCTTGGTAACTGGTCTATCCGAAGATCATGCAAAAGCGGAGGAAATGGTGTTTCAATAAATGATGACCCAGACGACTCTTCGTCTGATGAATAATAATCACCACCACCATAATAAAAATAATAATCACTCAATTGTGCCATTTCTTCTCCATTTTTAGCTTTACTGCTAAATTCTTCTTGCTCATCGTTGACATTTTCCCGATGCATATCCTGGCGTATGTTGCCTACTGCAACTTTTTGTCGCTTTGACCTCATTCGTTGGGAAAATGGTAAATATGGTGAAGAGACGTCATCCGTTTTCATGTTTGTCTCGTCATCTTCTCTATCGGAACCCTCCTGCTCTTGTTGCTCATCTTGGGCTCGTTGCCGTCGTTCTTCCTCGTCACGTCGAATACGTTCCAGCTGTCTGTGTCGATCCAACAAAAGCTGCTGTTGCTGCAAGTATCGAGCACCGATTGTAGGATTTCTTGGAGTAGTAACAGTTTTTGAAGATGTTGATAGTAGTGGCGGTGGTGGTGGTGGTGGTGGCATAAGTTCACTTGCTCGCCGGTCGTTGTCACTTTTTCCAGAAGAAGACACAGTACCTACAGTGGTAGCAGTAGCAGAAACTGCAGCAGTAGCAGAAGCTGCAGCAGTAGCAGAAGCTGCAGCAGCAGCAGAAGCAGCAGCTGCTGCAGCCGCTCTAGTTTTGCGGAGCTGAGTCTTCTTTGATGCAGCTAATGCTGCTTGAGCCGCCCGTGCAGCAGCATCAGCTACATTTACTACACTTCTTTTATCTTTTGGTAGCGGTGGTCTTATCCGGTTTCTAGTATCCCCTAAGCTATCAAATCGAGCTTGTTGAGGACTTTTTTCTACCAATAGTTCACAATCAATTCCTATATTATGCTTTACTTTGCCTAGGTTGTCTAAGTTTTGTCGCACTTTGATCTCTACATTTTTTGTGTTGACGGTAACTAAGGATGTTGTTTTTTTTGAAGAACTGATATTAGTAATTGCATTGGTTTTCACGAGACTATTATCGATAGTTTTGCCTTTGGCATCAGACACACTTTTTTTTCCCTCTGCTTCGACATTGATATTTTTCTTGGTCACTACCGGTTTTTTTTTCTTAGTAGATTTCGTCACGACTTTTTTCTTTTGGGTGTCGACCTTTTTATTTTCGGTTTCTATGGCTGTCGTCTTTTGAAGTTCCTCGGCATCTACCTTTTCCTTTTCAGCTGCTTTTCTTACCAGGTCTCGGTCTATTTCTTCTTTGATTGCAGCCAATTCACGGGCTCGTAACTTCTTTCGTAATTGACGGATATGTCTTCGGTATTGACATGGTTTGTTATCCGACTCTCCACACGGACAGTTCTTATTTCGGACCTCTCGAACATAATCAGCATTACTACTTATTTGTAATCGTTCCTGCTTTGTTACTTGTAGTAACTTGGTAGTAGCTAAGAATCGTTGTCGGTCACGCAATAATCGTATTGTCAAGGCCGTTGATTGAGGACGTTGAGCTCGAACATTTCGTTTAGATTGAAGGTCAGCAATCATAGTTTTCAATTGCTTCTTTCCATGATTTTTCTCCAGTAGATGAACTTCTTTCCAATGTCGTTTGAGAAAATGGTGTTGCGGTTCTTTTTCATTATCTTTTTTATGGCTATCTCTCTCATCGTCTTCAATAGTTGAGTTATCTGTAGGTAGGTGCTCTCGGGAATCAATATTTGGCTGTTCTAAGTATGACCTATCAAAAAACTTCCGTATCCGAGATTTTAAGTTCTTCTCTCGGATTTTGAATTGTGCCAACACTTGACGACGTCGTCGTGACATACGAATCTGAAGCCGACGCAACCGTACTATAAGCCGGCGTTCTTGATTGGCGAGACAGCGAAGGCGCTTTTTGAGTTCACGCAACAATTTTGAACAACCATCTCTTAATCGCACCATTGTATCTAACCGTTTTTGTTCTTGTAACCGTTGCAATTGTAATATTTTCGTAACTTTCGCATTTTGTTTCTTCGGAAACCTCTTTTGATACTGTATTTGCCTTGCTCTTCTCACCTTTTCTGTGTTTTCAGCTACCTCCATCAGTAACGGAAGTAATTTGCTTGATGGTGGCTTTATTAAGAACGCCGAAGCTACAGCATCAGCAACCTTCTTTTTCTCTTGTTCGTGAAACGATATTTTCAGTGTTGGGTGTTCATTGTTTTCTACCAATGACGACTTGCATGGCAAATTATTTGGCCAATACCAATGGGCCAAACTACCAGGTTTATTAGGGTACCAGTGGTCATTTGGGCCACGCACTTGTGGCACATCTGCATATGTGTACAATCGTAACGGCGACCCAGTTTCGGAAACACCTTGGGAACGTGCCTTACGCTGTTCTAACCACTGACAATTAAGTGGCAACCAAGTTATTAAACTGGTGACTAATGCGTTATGCAACGGTACTCTTTCTGCTAAAATGGCCTTAACTTCTTTTTTTTCAATATTAATATCCATGTCTTCATTTATTTCAGCCACTTTTTTTGATGTAGGTGATTTATTCACCGTTGAATTAATTAAGGAACTATTATTTTCTTTAATCTTTGATATGGTGGCTACCGCGTCCTTTTTGACAGTTTTTTTCGAAGTTGTATTGTTGGTTCTAATAGATGAATTTTTTTTATTGTTATCAACATCGACATTTTTCGTCATGACCATCCATGAAATATACAACACCTTGCGAATCTCACGATCAAACTCTTCACGTGATAACCGGTTCGCCATCCAGTTTCTCAAAATTTCATCATATTGAGCCTGGTATTTAGGTCCTAAGACCACTTTCAGTGCATCGTACCGTTCCTGAACGAGCCGTTCAGCTTCACGAACCAAATTTCTTTGCTTACGTATGGTTTCGTCGTCGTCATCATCATCCGATGATGATGATAATAATAAATCTTTTTCACTAACTGGCACATTTTCGTTATTCTTTTGTTTAATAGAAAGTTGATACTGTTTTTCAGAACCGGTTGCTTTTTCTATTTGCCGAAAATGTTCTGGTTCCTTTGATTTTTCAAGACTATTGATCGTTTTTTCTTCATCTCGTATTTTCTGATCTTGGTTTCCATTTACAACTAACGACAACCGGTTTTCTGAAGATGCCTGTTGTCTCAGTAGTAATTTTTTCTGTAATTGCTGCTGCTGTTGTTGTTTAAGATGTTGCTGAAGTAAAACTTGTTCACGGAGCTGTTGTTGGTGCTTTTGTTGCAGTTGTTGCTGTTTGAGTTTTTTTTGTTGTTGCTGTTGCTGCCGTTGTTGCAGTAGAAGGCGTTCTTGAAGTTTCTGTCGTTGTTGTTGCTGTATCTCGAGTTGCTTTTTCAACTTTTCTGGTTCTGGTTTTTCTGGTTGTTGCAATTGTCCTACTATTACACCACTACGTTGAGGTTGTTTCAATTGATGTTTTAACTGATCTATTTCTTTCTTCTGTTTAAGTTTTTGCTGTTGTAGTTGCTTGTTTATTTGTTCCTGTGAATGTTTTTGTGATGGTTGTATGTGCAATTGCTGTAACTGTTGATGGGACTGTTTAATATGTAGCTCCTTTGCCAGACTTTCATTAGACAAGTTTAGGTTATTTTTCTGCTGCTGCGTTAGAGGAACAACCGTACCTTGAGATAATTGCCCATGTTGCAGTTGTTTTTTTACTAAATCTTGTTGTTGCTGTAGTTTTTTTACTACATCTTGTTGTTGCTGTTGTTTTTTTACTATGTCTTGTTGTTGATACTGGTTCATTACATCTAATTGTTGCTGTTGGTTTTTTACTACATCTAATTGTAGCTGTTGGTTTTTTACTACATCTTGTTGCTGCTGTTGTTGTGTGGGCTGCAATAGTTTATGAGCCAACTGCTTTTGAAGTGTGATTTGCTGTTGAGATTGTTGCTGATTAGTTAATTTTAAAATTTGTTGTTGGCCTGCTATGACGACACGTTGCTGCTGCTGTATTGAGCCTATCGGTCGTTGTATCACCTGCTGATTAAGTACTACTCCATTTTGTGATGACGATTGCATTTGCTGTGTCTGCTGCGATGTTTTGAGTTGACCAATAACAATACGTTGTGACACTGGTTGATGTTGCTGCGCAATCTGCTGTTGCTGTTGACTTGAGGTGGAAGTAACAACACGTTGAACTTGTTGTTGACCAGTAGGTGCGACGACAACACGTTGCAATTGCTGTGGTTGTTGTTGGATAGATGTTTGGGTGACCACGTTTTGCGCCTGATGTGACTGTTGTTGACTAGTGCCTGGAATGACAACATGTTGTAACTGCTGTTGCTGTAATTGTTGGCCGGTGCTTGTGACAACAACACGTTGCATCTGTTGATGTGTTACAGTGGTTGGAACAACGACACGTTGCATTTGTTGGGATTGTGGTTGTCCGTTGTTCCCCACCATGACACGTTGAATTTGTTGTTGCTGTTGTTGTTGACCGGTTCCTGTAACGACAACACGTTGCATCTGTGGAGGTTGTTGGCCAGTGTTTGTTACAACAACACATTGCATCTGTTGTGGTTGCTGACCGGTGCTATTGTTAGTAACCACGCGCTGTGGTTGCTGTGATGACAACTGCTGTTGCTGTGTTTGATTGCCCAAAACTACGATACGTTGTGGATAATTTTTATTTTTTAATAATAACTGTTGTAGCTGCTGCTGGAGTAGTTGTTGAGTATGAGGAGGGGGCTGTTTTTTTGACTGTTGTTGTGTAGACAAGGAAGAATACTGATTATTCTGTTGCTGTACAATCTGCGATTGTTGCAACAAATTGGGTTTTTGTACTGCCGGGGGCTGTCTTACGACTTGAGGTTGACGTTCAACTTGAGTCTTTGGTACAACCTGTGTTTGTGTTATCAGCTGAGGTTGTTGCACAGTCTGTAGTTGTTGCAAATTTTGTAGTTGCGACACATTTTGTAGTTGTTGTACACTCTGAAATTGCTGCTGGGGTTGTTGTAAAAATTGCGATTGCTGTTGAGGATGCTGAGGTTGTTGGCCAAGTTGAGACTGTTGCATTAGTTGTGATTGTAACTGCTGCAGCGGCTGTTGTCGTTGTAAACTAGGTTGTTGCTGTTGTTGGATAACTTGTTGCCGTTGTAAAAGAAGATGGTCTTCTTGATTTTTGTCTTCGTATTTATTGTTATCGTGGAGTGTTAACAGTTCTATAATGGCTTGATCTTGATTTTTCTGATGTTCCAGAAGTTGCTGCTGGTTCAAATTACCATGCTGCATACCCCGTTGTTTCATAAAATCCTGATTCCGTATCAACAGTTGTTGTTGGTTTGGCGATAACTGCTGCTGCAAATATTGTGGTTGTGATTGTAATACCTGCTGCTGTGGCTGAGAATTCGGTTGTGATTGTAATAGCTGCTGTTGTGGTTTTAACTGTTGCTGTTGTTGTTTAAATTGCTGCTGTTGGAGATTAAGCTGTTGCTGCTGCTGTTGGAGATTAAGCTGTTGTTGCTGCTGTTGTTGTTTTAATAATTGCTGGTGTTGGTGTTGCTGTTGTAATTGTTTTTGCAACAGAAGTTGCTGTTGCTGCAATAGCTGCTTTTTGTCCTGCTGCTGTGACCGTCCAGGATCCATTGTCGTGACAGGTAAATTGAAATCACTGTAGCTATAGTTACCTATAAACTAACACACCTAAATAAAAAAAATAAATAACAATGTTGGTACTTTAGTTATTAAAACCTTATCAAAGACCGAATGTAGATGGCATAGTTGGGATATCAACCAACTTTTATATAATGCATAAGTAATAAGAAAATATGTTTCAAACTAATAACTTATGCCTAGATTTATACAATTATGTAAAATCTTACGTACATTGAAAAGAATTTTAAATCAATTTTTTTCCTTTCTGTTTTAAATGATAGGTACTATTTGAAGTGATTTTTATAAGTAATTATAAATAAATTTAAATGTAATTGTAATTGTAAATTTAAAACAAGCACGGCACACAAATGGGTGCTGTGCCTAAGTATTCTAATATATTTTTTCAAATTATTCTAACATTCAACATTTTAAATAATTAAATTATAATTTAAATCTGAACATAAAAGTTTATACTATGGAATAGTTCTGTTTTATAAGCACCTAAACTTAGTTCATATTTGAATCATACCATATACAATATACCCAGATCTTTAAAAATATAAAATCCATCAAGGTAATTACAATAATAAAATACTGTGAGAGCCTATTTAGAAATAATGTATTTTGAATTAATTAGTATGAAGCATAAGTTTGTTTGAATTCACTACAAGACAAGCAAATTTATATTGTGTTGTAATAATTTATGTGTCGGGTGACCCATTCTTGAAAAAAGTACTACATACTATGTCTTCTGAAAAGTATTACGCATATTGGTTATACCCGAAACATTACATACAAACCACTATTAGATTTATAGGTTATAAGCATAATTATTTTTATCTGCTATTGTGGCCCCTGGCCCCATTGTTACAGGGTACACAATTAGTTAATAAAAATTATACATCTATAAAATTGTTCAACCAAAACATTTGTAAATACAGTAGAAATTGGTATAACAAAGTTCTCAAGGGCCAGCAGTTTTTCTCGTTGCAACCTGTAGCTTTTTATGTTATGTTATAGCGAGTGTTCATTGTAACCAGTCAATCATCACAGTAATCGGCTAGTTATAAAGAACATCTATTTTATAAATCAATGTATCTTTACTCGTTAACGCCGATAACGAGTAATAACCATACTCATTGTAGTTATATATTTTAACATACAATCATATGGGCTAATGCCAGGACATAACGTTTTGCTTGTTAGAAGTAGTATTTCTTTCTAAGTAATGCTCGTTATAGTATTTCTACTGTAAAATGGTTATTTTGGGATTCTTGGAAATATATTTTTTTAAAGATAATGATATAATTAAAAATAATATTTCTTAGAACTATGCTTAGGTTGAACTGCATTCAAATTTTAAGGTTGTTCTTAACTTAATACATTTAAGTAATATATTTTAAATATTGGTTTAGATAAATAAATTACATAGATTTCAAAAATATTTAAAATGTATTTCTTCCAAGTTGATGTATTATAATAACATAGGTATGTCTTACCTGGAACGAAAACAAGCATTAATCATCAATGACTTTGTCTTTATCAACTTGCATATGAATAGGCTAATGAATTAACTACTTTGAAGCTGTTTTCGTGTAGGTACCTACAAGAAAAAATAAATAAAATATAGACAATATTAATTTTTTCTAAGAACTGTACCTAAATGTTGTGGGTATATTATTATCTATTATAAAAAAAAAGGAAAGAACCTAATCTAAAATGAAACTTTTATTATTTTAAATCATTTAAAGACAATCAAAAGATTGAATTTGAAGGTTGATCTATTATCAAACTTAAAGGTAAGGATAAGTATTATCTAGAATATCTAATATGATTAAGTTAATATTTTAATTTTAAAGTGAGTTATAAGTAAAGACCGGATTTATATTCTCTTATAATAGGTACCCAAAATATGATGCTAATATTCTCTAAAAACCCTTCAAATATTCTCATTATATTCTATCAAAAATTTAAAAAATATGATAAAATATGCAAAAATAATCAAAAACATCATTATATGCTTTAATATGCATTTATTTTTTAAATTTTTTTTCAACTATATTTTTATAGTGAGATATTAATTAGGTATTAAGAGTTGCGTATTATACCTAAGGGAATAGTATTGCACTTTAGCAAGAGTAGGAAGTTGGAATATAATATAAATATAACAGTATAATATTAAAACGCAAAAACAACATTTTGATATTTGAATATTTGATAAACTTATAAGTTGATCTTATCAGTAGATATCCTTGGATAAACCTTGATAATACTGCTTGTTTTATTTTTATCAAAATGAAAAAATAAATAAATAAATTGTAAATGGTCAAAAAAAATTTTCAGAGTACCGTAATATTAAAATTAAAAATAAATACAAATTTTTGATAACAATTTACGAAATATTCCAAAATATGCTAAATGGGTTAAATATTCTCCAACCCATGAAATATTCTCAAATATGCAAAAAAAACTGTTTTCTACGCATTCAGAATTGAACGAATCGTACATATTTTTTACTCTCATAAGACTGCATAGACCCAGTAACAATATGTAAAAACATATAAATCCGGTCTTTAGTTTTAAGTATTTGCTTTTCGTCGTAATTCCCGTTTTTATTACTTAGTATATATTTTAATTAAATGTTCAAAAAATACCTTTTCTTTTGCTACTTTTTTATACTTCATTTTTATTTTTCATACATATTTAAAATTTTTTAGCAAATATTTGGTTGGTTTTTAACGCATATAAATCCGTGCTCTACGTATAACTATATAAGCCAGGAAATAAGCTATAAAAATTATTAAATGCTCAAATTTCTTTAAAATTTAAAGATCAGTAAAAGTCTAAGAGATGCACCCAGGATAATATTTTTACATTTATATTGTATAATTGATTAAGTTGTTTTAATATTAAAGATGATGACACAATATTGGTTCTTCTATGTTACATATTATCATAAAGAAGAAGTTAATCATAAAAATAGAGATGTTATTATTAGTTTTCCCAACCACCAAATACATATGGGTATAGTATCAGATAGCCTGAATTTTGAGGTGAGTAGTTTTATAACTGAACGGGCATATAATTCTGTACTAACAAGTCTTAAATTTAAAAAAAAACCAGTTCCTATATATACACATATACATACATTATACATAGATAATAGCAATAGCACGGTATGATTGTTGAGAAAAGAAAATATCCAGACATATAACACTAGTGACTGAAAAATGGTTCATGGATTAGACTCATTAGAGGAACATCTTATTTCTAATTTCTATCTTCTACCTTTCTACCTACTAGACAAAGTCAATAACTGACAAAATAATATAATCAAATTTCTTAAATTACAATTCAGTTAAAAAACACCAATTAATTCAAATATTTCTGCAGAAAACATACATATTCTACTAAAAATTACTTAAATCTAACAAATATAACAAATTCAAAACACAATGTTGCTGATCCCTCTATGTATTGAGATTGTCATATAAGCTTTATCCTACTATCTCCAAAGTACAAAAGCCATGTGGAATCAATTGAAGAAAAGGTAATTTATTAATAAGTAATACAGTAAAAATATTTAAAAGTCCAACATTCTTAATTTTTATAAATATCTAAATAGATCCAAATATTTTGAAAATTATATCATGTCTAGAAAATACCAATATAATATATATAATTTCTACTACTTTGTTATATCCTCGCCTGGGCGTGTAAACATTTTATAGCATTGCCACTCAAGTTTGTCTCATTGACATCCATAATAATAAATATAACCCATTAATAATTCAATAGTTCTCAAAAAAAATGTACCATTAGTCATTACTATACCATATAGATACCTAACATAGAGATTATTTTTCATTATTAGATTTACAGATTTATATTATTGTTATTTGCATTATTGAAATAAATTAAAAAGACATGATAACACAAGTTCCCAATGTAAATGCTTGAAACTCTAATTTATATTTAATAAATTCATCATTAATAAGAAATATTATTATACAAATTAAAAATGAGTTTTTATCACTTATATAGGTACTATATATACCAGGGATGGGCAACTCACTCAGTGTTACTAAAGGGCCTATTATTTTAGTTCAAATATCTAACATGACAGAGAACATAGAAAGCAAAAAGAAGCATCTATCACAAAAACAATTAAAAAAACCAATGTAAATGAAATACTTAATGAAAATAATAACATAACCTCAGACAAACATGAAATTGCTAATATTTTTAAATTTAGTGTTGGTCGAGTACTCAACTTTGGAAATATTTTCGAGTCGAGTTCGAGTACTCGACTCGACTCGACTAAAATTTTTTTTTACTTGTAAATACAAGTACTCGCTTTGAATCGAGTGCTCGTTTCACTATTTTTATTATTAAAGATTTAAAATACTATAAATAGTATTTTATTGAAATATAAGTCTTAAAACTATAAATAACTGAAAGAACAAAAATATCCGATATGAATACCAGGAAGGTGATACGTGATAGTTCAGATTGATAACAATAGTTTGTTATTGCTCTAATAGTTAATAGTAATAATACTTATTAGTTATTATTTATTATTTAATATTTAATATATTATTATGAAGACGGAACTTTCATTGGTAACCACTACCACCAAACCACACTCATTATCCATCAGATGTAACTCGTAATTATCATTCAGTTTTTGTCACTCGACTACTTAGACTGTGGTGTAACGTATTAAATTAATTGTTGTCTAAAGCAGAGACAATCAGACAAGTTTGTACATTGTCAAAAGGATTTGATCATCAGGTAATTACTAATTACTAATTTAATATTTATAATTTAAATACTATTTTTATTTTTCAAGGCTGGGCATTAACGAGTTAAAAATTTTAGTCAAGTTAAAAAGTTAAAAGTTAATGTAATTTAAACTTTTTAACTTAACTAGTTACTTTTGGCTTTTCATTAACTTACTAAATTTCTTTTTTAATTAACGTGAAATGAAC